CTAGCTTGCTTACTCCTGCGGCACTGACTTTCTTCACAGTCTTGAATAGGCAGGGAATGATAGCAAGAAGTGTTTGTCGGAAGTGAATGTACCAATTGATCATATCATTGAAGTACTTCTGAGCACTCTCCGAGTTCTATTTGCATCGATTGATGATACCCAGAGCATGCTCCAAGCAGGAAGTGGTGTAATGATGTTTGTCAGCCAAAGCAAATAAGCATTTCTGACCTTCTGCCCTGGTGAACATGACTGAGTTTTGTTTTGGATCAATCTTTCCCATCTTCATTCTGTTTATATCGCTTGCAGAACCGACTGGAGTGATGATGGGCTTCTTCCTGAGAACATTAGCAACCTCTTGATCCAGCTTAGCAACCTCCAAAATATAACACACCAACATTCTCTTGAAATGGTCTATGATCGGATCATATTCCACTTGATTGACAAGAAGAATGTTGTGCAAGACTATCCAGTCATGAGGGTTTAAGTTGGGAAGATCAGCTAGAGAGATAGAATGCTCGGTTTTGTCAGATCCCCTTAAGACCCTGAATCTGACATTGGTGAAGTTGCCCTCCCGAACAGGTTTGAGAACCCGAACGTTGATGATCTTCTGTGCGCTCCACGTCTGATACTGAGGTTGAGCGGTCCTCAGATAAAAGTTTACAAGCTCCCTATCAACCTTCAGGTGAGGATGAGGAACTTCAGCTATGTGGGCGAATGCATGGAAGATAAAAGCTTTTCTGGTCAGGGGCATGTCAAATTGGGAATCGACCGAATTGACCCGGTCCAAGGAGATCATCGGTTCTAGCCAAAGAGTGCAGGGGGACTCGATAGCTTCTTTGACAAGCACTTTGAGAGTCCAAGGAGTAAATAGAGTTTTTCTGCTTTCAAGGAGATCATGAGCCTCCTTTATCTTCCTCTCCTTGGCTTCAGCCTCTCTGGCAATGTGAGCATTTTCATCAAGCTCCTTCTCTATGGTCTGTTTCCTCAGTAAGCTGAAAATCGGTTCTTGATCATCAATTTCATCACTATCATCGATGATTTGTTTGTCTTTGCTTTGAGCACTCAAACCTGATGCAGGAACATTTGTTGGTTTGGGTGCTTTCGGAGGGACAAGTGATGAAACTGGAAGTGATTGAGCTTTGGAAACTGGAGGGAGTTTTGATTGAGCTGTGGGCTTCCCTTCTCCCCCTTGTTTCGGATGTTCCTCCTGCTCAGGAATCCCTTCAATGCGGCTAAGCAGGGCAAGGTAAGGAGCGAGCTTGTCTGCAAGAGTGCGCCTCACCAAATAGTTAAGAATCGGATCATGGGCTTCGATAATGTTGGACAGAGCTCCATGGACATCTGAAACACAACTCCGGACCATAGCTTTCTCAGACCGAAGAGAATCGATCTCCTTCTCGGCTTGGGAGAGCTGATGAGTTGCAAGAGTAAGCTCGGAATATTTACGAGCAAGCTCGTCCTTGGTAGTAGACTCGGCGGCAAGAGTGGCTTGAAAGGTAAGAAGACGATCCGCAACCGAAGATTGAAAAGACTGATTGTCTTCTTTGAGGTTCTGACGGAAGCTGGCAAATTAGTCTTTTTCGGTTTCGAAAGAATGGACCAGCTTCTCCACAACGGTGCGAATCTTCTTGGTATTTATTTCTAATGCCGCCTGCAAAGACTCCAGCCAAATCTGGGCATCTTGAAATAGTTTTTCAACTTTTTCGGTCGCAGCAGCACTAGCCTTTGTCGATTTGTCAATAGCAGTAGCAACTGAGCTAATAGAGGCTTCATGTGCTTTGGAGAGAGATTCCACCATCCCCTGAATGGCAGCCTCCGAAAACTGAGATTTTGAGGAAGAGGAAGAAGCCACAAGATTATCAATCTTCTCGTGGAGTTCCTTGATGTGCTTTTTGGTAACTAGAGCATCATCATCATCATCACTTTGGAGTTGGTAGGGGCTGTAGTAGATGGAATCGAAAACCATATCCTCCCCTCCCAAAAAGGTTTCGGTTTCAGCAGATGGAGTGGGAGATAAGGGTGTGGCGGATGGTTCGGTAGTGGAAGTGGTTGTGGGTGAAATGGTAGTAGAGGTAGTTATGGGGGGAATAGAAATAGGGTTAGATATGGAGGAAATGGAAATGGAGGAGGTTATGGTGGGAATGCGGGAGGTGGAGATAGGAGAAAGGGAAGGAGGTTTTGATGAAACTGGTACCTCATGAGCAGGCGAGTGAGGAGGAGTTTCGCCTCTAGCCGACTCGTCTGAGTTAGAGTGGTTATCTTCTTAATTGCTGGATGAAGAAGAGAGAATAAGTTTCCTCTTCGGCTGTGCTTTCTTCTTCTTCGCTGGGGGGGAAAGATCTGTCTTTGAGGGTTTTCGCTTCTTTGGAGAAGGACCCTTTGCTCCCTTTGCTACTTTCTTGATCTTCCCTTTCTCGGGTTTCTTCCCTCTAGCAGCTGGTTTATCTGCGTCATTAATGGACTGAACCATTTTCGCAGAAAGTTCCCGTGGACCCAGAGGACGAAAGTCCTTATAGGCCTTCATTATAACACTCTCCTTGGACACACCAGCAGACATAGAATACGGAATGGATCCAACGAAGGAGAACTTGGTCGGATCAGTAACGATGATCTTGGTGGTGTGGAAGACACTGATGGAGGAGAGGAGGGAATCTGCAACAGTTGGAACATGAAGTTTATCCATGGCCCACTTGGTGATCAGCATCCAAAATCTGGCATAGGACACTTCAATGTGGTGAGAGGAGGAGGCTAGGCTCTGAATGAGTTGTTGCCAGAGAACCGAGCGGTAGTCGAGGTTGATGCCATGATATAGACCATAGAGAATGGTCATGAACAATTTATTGGCCCCATCAGAACCAGAACTTCGCTTAGAGAGCCCTTTGAACAGAATGGTGAAGAAGCCATTCCATGGAGGAGGAAGACACGACTTCTTGAACTTGGTGACCGTCGTGAGAATTTCCGTGTAGCCCATGTTGTAGAACATCGAAAATAACTGTCCCACAGTGATGGAATCGGGATTAACCCTAGATTCATCGGCTTCAAAACCTAGGAGCCAGCAGAATCGTTGCTTGGAGATGAAGGTCTGTGAAAAAGAAGGTCGAAGTAGATTCGATCCACTGATCTATCATAATCAGCAGTGGAGAAGACCTGGGAAAGACATACCATGGGCACAATCTCGACCTTTGAAAGGGCTAGTACCAATGGAGAGTATTTGAGACACTCCACCATGGGATACATATAGTTCTCGTAGGCTTTAGGGTTTAAATCGATCACCAAACATTGTTGAGCGCGAATGGTAAGAATGTTGGTGCGGGAAGAGGTTTCCTGAACTGAGGAAGAGTCTGCCATTATTAAATGTTGAAGATGATGAACAGTAGAATATAAATCGCCTGATTTTGCTCGTTTAATTTTTGATTGTTGTAAGTGTGGAATGAATCAGAAGTGTTCCTTTTATACTGTGGGTAGAGGAAAGAGAAGAATCATCCCCCAAATCTTATTGATACACGAAACGGTTTCGGATGTCACAGAAGCGCGACGGTTGGCAACCCCGATGATTACGCATGAGAGAGAAAAACTATTCCGTTTTGCACGCGTGCCCGTCAACTCACTATTGAAGCAGTTACTCTGTCGGCTGAGTCAGCATCTTATCTGTTAAGTAGCTGTCATCCAAACACAAGATTATGATGGAACCGAACTAGATTTTTGGAAAATCAAAGATTTTCATGCATAGAGTGTCAAAGATAAGGAAATAAAGCGATATTTATGTGTGAATGTGTGATGTCAATATAGACACAAAACAGTCGATCCCGGGCACGAATCACTTTCTTCAAGGTCAAGAGAGACCTTAAAGTGTCTGTATGGATTCCCGTTGAATTACGATCAATCACTTATTAAGAAGTGTTGAAAGGAATCTTTTTATAAGGCTTAAAAGGGTGGCTTTCGCTTCAGTTTAGAATCCCGGACCTTGACATAAGACCGAGACTAAATGAAGTACCTGTGAGACCGATGTGGTCTATTGAACAAGTAGGTTGGAATATGTATATAGTGACTTATTGAAGATGTGTGATGGTGAAATCTCAAAAAAAAAAAAATTAAAACTGGATTCTAAGGGAAGAAATGTTATGGTAAATAACAATTTCATAAGAACCTCACAACGAAAAGAGATTTCATGTTTACCGTCAATTCATGTTAGGTATTGAATTTTGGGTTTCACTAAGCACGTAGTGACACGAGGCTCAGATCATAAACACAGAGATTGTGGAACCATAAACCTCAGTGGTTAATTCTGAGAGTCTCAAGGGTTACGATATGGGACCGAAATATGATGGAGAAAGATATTAAGGTGGTGAAGAGAAACTAAAGTATCTCTGCTGAAAATAGTGACCAAGCAGTAAACTCTTAACCCATATGAGAAAAGAGTAAGGTAGCTCAGGATTAGAATAAATGGAGCAGCCTTATTGGGAAGACAAGGTTTGTATATACCTAGTCATTAAGGCTTTTATTCAAAATCAGTTGAGGCTTTGGACAACATGCAGCAGCATGCTTCTAGGGACACTTAACTATTATAAAGTGTGAGAACGAAACCTGTCCCATCGATATTTAAACAAGAATAAAAGAAAAAGAAAAAATATTTTTGGAGATTTTATGTTTTTGAAAAGAGAAAAACCAAACAGAATAAATAAAAAAAATCAAACCGAACCCGAAATAGATCGAACGCTCGGTTCATTTCAGTTCAAAATTTTTTTTTTGGATTTTTGGAAAACAACTTTTACAAAAGGAGAAGAACATCGTTTGTCTGTGAAATTGCAATGATCTCGACCGTGGTGATCATATAGAACGAGGGAAATACAGATCAACCGGTAAAGAAACTGAAGACGAAGAGGGGTTTATTGTTGACGCCTTTTAGCGGCAAAGTCTGCTCATTTGCGGCGACATACCGGAGGAAGACAACACGGAGTTTCCTACTTTTGTGAGAGTTGAACCCTAATTGAAGAAAAAAAATGAGTTGGAGAAGTAAGAATGAAGATAGGCTTAGCTCTTTGCCTGAAGAGATTCTTTCACATATACTCTCTTTAATGCCTACAAGTTTTGCTGTGCGAACAAGCATTTTATCCAAAAGATGGAAACACTGTTGGAGGATGATCACAAACCTTGACTTGAACGATTATTACCTTGTCTATAATTTAAAATGCTTCTCAAAATATGTGGATCGTGTATTGGAGCATTGCAAAGCATCACAACTTAAATCATTCAAGTTAGGTCTTTTTCGTACTTCAGTGCAAAAGTCAGATGTTGCAAAGTGGATTAACGAGGCAATTAGGTTAAATGTTTGTGAGCTTGACATACATTTGCCCAAGTTTCCCAATTTGAAGCATTTGGAATTGAAGGGTTCTTTCAAATCTCCATGGATCTTAGTTACTCAAATTCTTGAAAGCTCTCCTGAGTTGGAGCATTTATGTTTTGAGGAACTGGAAGATAATAGCTGGATTGAGCCTGAGTCAGTTCCCACTTGTATGGTTTCGAACCTTAGAACCATGAAAATTACAAAGTGCAAGGGGCGAAAGTGTGATATACAGTTCCTTGAATACATATTGGGGAATTCAGAGGTTTTGAAGACAATAACAATCATATGTGGAAGTATGCGCATGAAGGATGAAATGGAAATGTATGCACGCTTATTAAAGTTTCCAAGAGCTTCTAGGTTTTGTGGGATTCATTTTGTTGGGAAATGGCTTAGTTCTATAGGTAAATAGAAGAACATATATATCCTGCTTACTATTTTGTTTTTGCTTTGCATTCCACTTTTACCTGGTTACTTTTTCCTTTGATTTCTTACAACTGTTCACGTTTTTGCTTTGAGGAATGGGCTAAATGCAAAAAATTGCAATGTACTTTTCTTACAACTGTTAAAAAAAAATTTGGATTTTTGGAAAACAACTTTTACAAAAGGATACAACCATAGACATCACCTTTTTGAGATTGAGCGAAAATATGTGCAATGGGACCGAACCCGAAATAGACCGAGCATTTGATTCATTTCGGTTCCCATGTGAACCAAACCCGAAATAGACCGAGCGTTCGGTTCATTTCGCTTCCAACTTTTAACTTTGAGATGGTGTTTTTGGTACTGATTCTGATTCCATCATTCCTAGTCCTTGAAGGATCTTATTGAAACTTGCTTCAGGTAGGGCTTTGGTGAAAATATCGGCCAATTGATCAGTGGTTCGAACAAAGTGAATTTCGACATTTCCATCCTCCACATGATCCTTAATGAAGTGATACCTCAGTGCTATATGCTTGATCTTAGAGTGTTGCACTGGGTTATGACAGATCCCAATTGCACTTTCTGAATCGCAATATAGTGGGATCTTTTTCATGTTGAGTCCATAATCTCTAAGCTGGCTTTGGATCCAAATGACTTGAGATGTACAAAAAGCGGCTGCGATGTACTCTGCTTCGGCTGTAGAAAGGGAAACGCAGGTTTGCTTCTTTGACTGCCAGCTGACCAACTTCCCATCAAGGAATTGACAACCCCCTGTGGTGCTTTTCCTGTCTAAACCGCATCCTCCAAGGTCTGCATCTGAGAAGGCTTGAACGAAGAAGCCTGAGTTTGATGGATACCATAGACCGAGAGAGGTGGTTCGCTTCAGATACCTGAGTATATTTTTCACTGCAAGCATATGTGGTTCTCGAGGATTCGCCTGAAACCTAGCACAATAACATACAGAAAACATGATATCAGGCCTGCTAGCAGTAAGATACATTAAGGACCCAATCATCTGGCGGTATTGCATAATGTCAACTGCTGGTTTCTCCAGGGAAGGTGTGAGTTTGGTCCGAATGCCATTGGAACTTTGACCTTTGAGTCTCCCATCATACCAAATTTGGCAAGAAGAGTTTTGGTGTATGCTTCCTGGTTGATAAAGATGCCTTCGGGTCCCTGTCTAATATTTAAACCAAGGAAAAAGTTAATCGGACCCATGGAGCTCATTTCAAATTTAGTCTCCATCAGCTTTCTGAATTCAGCTGTTAAGCTGGGATTCGTTGAGCCAAAGATGATATCATCGACATAATTTGTACAATCATAAGGTGGTTACCTTCCTTCTTACGAAAGAAGGTTGGGTCAACCGAACCTTGTTTGAATTTGGACATCTTTAAAAACTTAGTTAGCGTTTCATACCAGGCCCTAGGTGCTTGTTTCAGACCGTAAACTGCCTTGTCCAGAATATAGCAGTGATTTGGGAACTTCTCATTGACAAAACCAGGAGGTTGCTCCACGTAGACCGTTTCTTCAAGTTCTCCATTCAGAAAAGTGCATTTTATGTCCATTTGGTAGACCTCGAAGTTTTTGTGCGCTGCATAGGCAAGAAATATTCGAACAGATTCCAGTCTTGCAACGGGAGCAAATGTCTCTTCGTAATCAATTCCTTCTTCCTGGTAGTATCCTTTCACCACTAAACGAGCTTTGTTCCTTATTACGTTGCCTTCCTTGTCCATTTTATTTCTAAAGACCCATTTGAGACCAACAACGGAGGCATCTTGAGGAGTTGGAATGAGACGCCAAACTTTATTTCTTTCGAACTCATTAAGTTCGTCTTGCATAGCTTGAACCCAATCAGAGTGATCAAGAGCGGTGTTTACTGTCTTTGGTTCAACTTTGAGACGAAAGAGTTAAACATGCAGAACTCTACTTTGAAAATAAAGAAGTTTGTTTTGCCTTCAGTTGAGATCTGGTCAACACCTTTTCAGAGACATTACCACAACCTGTGAAACAGGATGATCTCTAGTCCATTTGACAAGAGGAGGTAATT